CGAAGTCTCCGGAGTCAATGNGAACTGCATTATCATATATCATCAAAGGCTGCGAAATCGCGTTAAACAGGGCAGCCTTACTTGAACAGGAAAATCATGATTTACGGGCTGCAGACGAACACCAGACTAAGAAGAGGAAACGAAGTAATCGCCAATTGGCAGGCCTCGAAGGAGCTACAGTTCATGAAGCTATACAGCTTTTTCGCCGGGCTCGTGAGGAAGATGAAGCCTTGGGAATCCAACGGGCTGATTCTGCGGCCGGCGAGGAACAGCCTCGCCGGCGCGCGCCACCTCGCTGTTCTTCGTGTAATAAAGTTGGTCATATACGGACATGGTGTCCAGCAAGAGTAAAACACCAAGAAGAGGCAATTTGAACGGTGTAAAAAGGTTGATATTTGACTTCAAATTTGTATATAAAGCAGAATTACGAGTTGGGCGTTCCACTCGCTTGCGCGTTCCGCTCGCTTACCGATTACGTTAACTAATTAGCTGACTAATATCAAATCGGGCGAAAGTGTCCTTGACCGCCGGGGCTGATATCTTTCTGCCATACGAAAGTCCACCGCCTGCCATAAGAGACCAGAGGCATGCTCGGTCATTGCATGAAGACAGTCGCGCCACCTTCCATGATTCCTCCTGTACGTGTATGTTTTCTATTGTCTTCTCTGGATCCTTAGCTTAAGAGCATAAGTTTATCTTTTATAGTTAATGATCGTCTTCTAATATCTAATCATTTAACGACGTATTTCCCGCCCCACCGCGGAGAACTAATACGGGTTCCTTCGATAGCCGAGGCGGCATTGTCTGGATCACGTCTTATCTTCCCCGAGTCCTCTCACCGCGCGCCATCTAAATCCGTCCGCAACCTCTCTCTTTTTCCCTCTTTCCTCACCCGACCATGGACTTCACGCGTATCATTATCTTACTCACCTTCTGGTTCCGTACGTATGAATCTCACGCTTCCCCGCTCAGTTTTCCAACCTGCTAACCCACACTGCCTGCTCCAGTTTTCCGTCTCATCAAAAGCCGCTTCTTTCCCGATAAACCCATCATGGCTCACGGCAAAGTTATCGAGGTTGACAAGTATGCGCATTTTCCCGCCCTCTATTTTCACCACGAATATAGACCTCCGCAAACATCCCAAATGCGATTTTGGAAATACTAACTCGATCTCCTTCTACAACAACAGCCCGGTCATCTTCAAGGCCCTGACCTCGTCCGGCCCGGTCGTGGTCGACTTCTTCGCGACCTGGTGCGGTCCCTGCAAGGCCGTTGCCCCTCAGATCGGCAAGCTGAGCGAGACCTACACCAACGTCCGGTTCATCCAGGTCGATGTCGACAAGGTGCGCTCCGTGGCGCAGGAGCTGCAGGTCCGCGCCATGCCGACTTTCGTTCTGTACAAGGATGGCAAGTTGCTGGACAAGCGCGTGGTGGGTGGGAATGTGCGGGAGTTGGAGGAGGCTATCAAGAGCATTGCTTAGATGTTCCTGGTGTTAGGGTTCTTTCGGAGCCGTCGTGAGGTGCAGAGCGAGTATATATGATTTCGCATCAAGCCCTTATGTTGGTTATTATGATTTATCATTATCCCGGGAATTGCAGAGGACACCTCGTCGAGCGACTTTTCAAACAAATCTGAACTTTCATAAATAAGCCATAGCTATGGTCAATACATACAACCAGGATCATCAGATAAGAACGCCACGTGAAACAGAAATGGCTAGCATGCAATGGCCTTTAGGGAATCATCCTATGTAGGTAACGCTGAACTTCGTGTCGCTCTGTACATCCACCTCCGTCAACACTTGATCATTCTGCTTCAGCTCAATGACCGTCCCATCCTGGACACCCACGGTCTGGCCCCCGCCCTGGGCCTGCGCGCCGGTGAACGTGACCGTGCCGAAGTCTGTGAGCGCAACCTGTTCATCCCCCGCCTGGAAATCCTCGACGATCCAGTCCGCATTCTGGCCCGCCAGGGTGGCCGTCGCTGCAGGGGCGGAAATCGTCTGCGTCGCCTTCTCGCCGGTGGACTTGTTCTCGATGATGGCCACCCCCTTGCTGGGCGAGAGGGCCTGGACCTTGGCCACGATGGTATCCCCGGGGCTCACGGAGAGATCGAAGTCGTACGCGTAGTCTGGGTACCACTCGTACCAGGCATCGCCGGAGATCTTGCCGTTCTGGACGTAGAAATCCACCCCAGTCTGGAGGATGGCGGCGTTGTACGTGTCGCCGTCGATGCCGACCCAGGCGGAGCCGGCCTGCGTGCCGCGGCTGCTGACTGCAGCGGTGGGCTTGGGGACCTGAAAGGTCGCGCTGACAGCTGTGTACGGACCTGAGGTGGGCGGTTCCTCTCGCACGATGCCGGCCCAATTGCTGCTGTATGTGACGTGAGATGTGTTTGGGGATGAAGCCACTTCCTCTCGGTGGTTGCTCTTGGGGTCTGATTCTGAAGGGTGTGGCTGTAGGGGACGCGAACCACGAGCCATGGACCGGGCTTGCATGCGCTCTGCTAGCCCACTGCGAGGAGCTGCTAGGACGCCACTAGCCAGGCAGGTGGTGACTAGAATGGGGGCTAAGAGCTTCATGATGGTTGGGCTAGTTTGTTGTAGTGGTGAGATGGTGTTGGCGAGAGGCGGGATCCGAAGTAGAAGCTTGACGCCTTTCTGGCCAGAGACGACGTCCAGTGATCTTATATTGTGCTCGAGGACTTGTCATGGTCGCATGCGGATAGCCCCAATCACTCTATGTCTGGATTAGGAAATCATAGACCCCGCGATCTAATCATACGGATCGAATCCATGGTCGTGTGTATGTCATCCCCAAGGGGAAAAGTCAAATTCATGCCAGGTACAAGGCTTTAAAGGACGATAATGGTCATGCCCCCGGACCACGAGGTCCAGTACCTCGAAACGGCTGTATCCTATTCCATAGAGGGGTGACAGAGGAACCATGATCTAAGCTTTGGTGATGATCGATTCCGAGAGCATGTGGTTTCATGTCGATGATAACCTTTGTTCAAACAAGATTCAGACTGGCAATGATGTCAGAAACTTGAGGGCATAGCTTGTAGTGTCGCACATGTAGATTCCCAGCATCGAAGCCCGTATGCGTCTTAGTCCTTGAGTTGAATATCGAGTACAAGAATCCGAGGACCGTCACTCCATCTGAAGCCTCTCAGAAGGCAGCCTAATCAACTTATCGGCACATTTTCATGGTCCAAGCCGAAGACAGTAGGTAACGAGTGCAGTATTCCCAATCGGGCACATACCTCACATGCCAAGAGACGCAACCAACATTCCAGCCCTAGCGTGTCCGCTCCACAGCTGCAAGCGACATTTCGAATGACCTGGTCACCTTTCAGCGCCGATTCAAGACCTCAGGGTCCAGCCTTCAAGTAATCAGTAGTCCTATCCACGGCGAGTGCGTCATACGTCATACGCGCCCTGTTGCCGGCACCAACCCAGTGCCCACAGTGAATGGCCTTATGACAAGTCTGGTTGACATAGGAAGAATGTTAATTAAGGCTATAGGGACAATGCTCGGAAGACAAAAATTTTCAGAGCATTGTGTTTGCAGACAGCATTGTGATTCAAGAGTAAGCTTAAGCAGTCAACTAGCCGGCAAAATGATCAGGCGGGCATGCCCCAAGCGATCGATATTATGACGGAATGGCGGAAGTCGTGTAGGACGCGCAAGTGAGAAGCTGCTGCTTCCCCGATCATGCGTAGCTCTGAATGCAGCCTAAGGAGGTGAGTGGTAAGCCGTTTGTTGTTGATCAAGCGGTGGTGTGGGCTTCGACAAAATAGTATAGATGATCACCCGCGGGGACTTGCGCCGGACGTGCAGGGGTCGTATGCAGCGACAGGTCGGAGTCTGGACTGGAAGCTTGAGGCTGTGGGGTCCAGACCTGCTCCAGCCCCGGCGACAGGTGGCTCAGTTGCGAACCTAACCATGCGGGCTGATGTTGCAGAGCTGAGTGATACTCATACCTAAGGCATCGCAGTTGCGGAGTGACCTTTTAGTTATCCCCGGTAAATTTACTTTATCCTTATCGCAAAACCGTTATCGGCTCTAATAGGATTATATAATGTGTTCGAGTTTGGTCTGTGAACCAATCAGAAGCACAGTAAATGACGCCATGGGTGCATGGCTGACAATTACAGCCTGAGGCCGCCACGTCCGCATGTGACATATGTTAAAACACCCGGCCGAGTCACCGATCGATCATCCCGCGACATTCGCATCGCTATCATTTTTACGTCCCTGTGGTATTGAGGCTCGTCTTCGGGTCATAATGAGCCCATCAGGAATGGCGTCCTCAGTTCCTCGAGTGTCAAGGGTCGTACGATCATTGACTCAGCGCAACAGCCTCCCAACAGCGACTACCACACGTCCGGTTGTTCGAATCAGCCCACTATTTCACTCTCGGGCCTTACATCAAGCTCCTCAGCGCAAGTCACAACCGGCTACTGCGCAATCCAGTTTACGAGACTCGTCCAATCCTGCTCTTTCCTTTCCATGCCTCGATGCCCAGGAAGCCAAATCTGCCCAGCTATCCGCGCGGTCGCTTGAATCCGGGCCTGAACCTTCATACACTACTGGTCACCATGAGCAATTTCACTGCGAAGATCCGATTCTTCTCGACTGGGGTGGTGTGCTCCGCGAATTTGACATCGCGTACGAAACTTGGGGTCAATTAAACGCCGACAAGAGCAATGCCATTCTGTTACACACCGGCCTTTCAGCATCGAGTCACGCACACAGCACCGAAGCTAACCCGAAGCCGGGCTGGTGGGAAAAGTTCATCGGTCCCGGTAGGCCTCTTGACACGAACAAACACTTCATTATTTGCACAAATGTCATCGGAGGTTGTTACGGAAGTACTGGACCCTCGACAATTGACCCTTCCGACGGCAAGAGATATGCCACTCGATTCCCCATCCTCACGATTGAGGATATGGTACGGGCACAGTTCCGCCTTCTGGATTCACTAGGCATTCAAAAGTTGTATGCATCTGTTGGATCCAGTATGGGCGGGATGCAGAGTCTTGCTGCCGGTGTCCTTTTTCCGGAGCGCATTGACAAAGTTGTCAGCATTAGCGGATGCGCACGGAGCCACCCCTACAGCATTGCCATGAGGCACACACAACGTCAAGTGCTGATGATGGATCCGAAGTGGGCCCGAGGCTTCTATTATGACTCCGTCCCCCCTCATTCGGGAATGAAGCTCGCTCGAGAGATTGCCACTGTGACTTACCGCAGTGGTCCCGAATGGGAAATGCGGTTCGGACGCAAGCGCGCAGATCCCAGCAAGCAGCCCGCTCTCTGTCCGGATTTCTTGATTGAGACGTACCTTGATCATGCCGGAGAGAAATTCTGTCTGGAGTATGATCCGAACAGTCTGCTTTATGTGTCGAAAGCCATGGACTTGTTTGATTTAGGCTATGCCCATCAAGCAGAGACTCAGCAGCGGAGAGCCGCCAACGAAATTAAGATCGCTGAGGGCGGTAGCGATGCTCAAGAAAACAATATCACCTGCAGCTTGACTCTTCCCGCGAAGCCGTATGAAGAGCAACCATCTCAGACTGCGTCAACGCCTTCTATGGACCAAGCTGTCACCGATGGTGGAAAGGGGCCGGATACGCCCCCACAAGATTTGGTCCGTGGACTTGCACCGTTGAAGAACCACCCAGTCTTGGTGATTGGCGTCGCCAGTGATATTCTCTTTCCGGCCTGGCAACAACGCGAAATCGCAGAGACGCTTCGCGCAACAGGAAACCAAACTGTTGAGCATATTGAGCTGGGAGAGGATGTGTCACATTTCGGGCATGATACCTTCCTGCTTGATCTGAAGAATATTGGAGGTGCCGTGGAAAAGTTTTTGCAGTAGAAGCGGAAGCAAAGCGGAAGTGGTGGGATTTTCCATGCATGTACATTTATTTGCATTTGAGGTCATCATCCCATTACACATTCAGCTGATTTGACCTCCATCAGTGTCAACAAGAGGCTGGAAGAGTTCTCGGCTGACTAGGGACCAGTACATAGAACGAGTGACCAGCAGAAGAGCATACATAATGATGACCAACCTCCTTGAGCTTAATAGTTATAGGATAGATCAAGTCATATTGCCTGATTTGGATTATTTGATCAACACGTGATTTCGTGAAATTGGACCCGTGGCTGTCAGGCGGTGAAACGCGTTGATTTTGCGCCCCGCGAACCAATGATCGGTTGCTGTCACAATTTATTTTATTTTGCTACAGATCATTAAATCCGAGCACAACACGCGGGACTTCCTCCACCCTTCACTTTGTCGCAGTAACCTTATGAAAACTTGAACCCTTCACTCGAATAACACATCGCTCTGTGTTATGTTTTTAGTCACCCACCCTCTTCAACCACCTTCCATCCTCTTCCTCTCGTCCTATCCTTCGACCTCGGACTCGCCCTTTCACCTTTCCTCTTCCCCAGTTACTCGAAAGGCCTTTGTCACCAGTCCCTATGCACGGACAAACAACTCTACAGTTCTTCGTGTAGACGAAACATTCTCCTAATCTCCATCCCTCCCTCATATCCTTTACGCCTCCCATCTCAACACCCTCCACCTGCGACATGGTTCTTCTGCGACTCGGAGTTAAAGTTTTTGCTCGCGAGCAATTGCAGGCACCATCGTCCTCGACTGATCGCGATGGCTTAGGTCAAGGCAAGCATGACTTCCGAGATCGTGAGCTTGATAGTTACTTGATTGTCCTTGAGAGCCCGGAGGAGACAAATCTTGGTGAATTGGCTCAGATCATTCGCGAGAAATGGAAAAAGCGAAGGCCAGATGCTGAGTGAGTCCATACTTTACTTGAAGACCATCCAGTTCCTGAGGGCCTTCCTTCTCTGACTCAGAGAGGCCCAATGACCTCGCAAGAGCACGGGCTTGACTACTTTTACTTGTGCCTCGGATGTGCTAACAGATACTGGATAACCAGGTCCCTCGAGATCAAAAAGCTGCTCGACGATGAGAACGACACCTACGATCTCGATGCAGACTTGAGTGTAGCTGATGTCTTCGTTAATCAAGGCAAGGCCCGTCAGGACGCCTCGGATCAGCGCGCCACTGTCCGTGTTATTATGAAGCCTACCCAATACACACCTGTCCGTCTTCCGTCCGTCACTCACGACTGGGATGCTCTGGCGGAAGATGCCGAGCGCCAGAGACTCATCAAAAAAGAGATCATACGGAAGGAGATGAGTCAAATTCCGACCATCTATGAAGATCCCCGGGATACCCTCAATTTCGAGTCGACTAGCAACCGCGCGACGTCGTCAGCATGGAGTGCTCATGAAAATTTGGTGCGCACGAGCGACATTCCTGTCTCCTCCGTGGAAGCAGAGGATCTTCACGGATCACCTTTACACGTGGCCAAACCACCTATTTCCCGACAACAGCAGCATCATGTTGTTGCGCCAACCCCTCCGCGCAACCGGGCGGAAAGTCAAGAGTTGGGCGATTTGCACCGCAGCTCAAGACCCTTCAAGACACACTTCTCACTTACAAGAACCGGCTCAAGGCAGGTGGTTGCGCCGCATTCTATAATCGAGGAGGAAGCAGAGCTTATGCATGGCTCGCCGCGAAGAACCAACGGCGAACAAAAGACTCACAATAAAAGCGAGGTTATGGAAATTGTCATCGACGAGAGTGAACCAGAGAATCTCGATGAAGGCAGAATAAACCCAGAACGGGATATCACGATGAGTGAAGCTGGAGCAGAGAAAGAAAACCTGTCTGTCCCAACTCCTGCCAGGACCAAAAAACCGAATGTCAACGGCACCGCTGATATAAATGGTGCTCTCGAACAACCCAACGGATTACGGAAACGGAAGTTGAGCCTGGAAAGCCTGAAGCCGAACAAAGAGCCGCGACGACAGGAGCCTGAGAGTCCAAACGCAATGGAAGACGACCTTGTATGCACTTCGAGCAAAGCCGAAGCGAGTCCCTCGACGCCACGCCGTCGCGATCGGGCCCCATCTTTCTCTGGTGCTGGGCGACGTCTAAGCTTCGCGGAGTGCTCGCCTCGGGCGCCACCTAAACCTGGTCTTGGGCTGGGCATCACGAGTAGCCCTTCTGGCGAGCAATCGGCAACGCGTGTTGACACTCTCGGACCCCCCTCGCGTACTCAGAAAACCCCGACAAAGCTTGCGACACCGGTTAAACCAGCCCGTTCTACCTTGTGCAAGGACGATGCCGCTCACGATTTGTCTGGCCGTCGCTCAGTGTCATTTGCGGATAGTTCTGATGTAATTGTGACCAAGTCTGGGCCAGCGCCGGTGTCTAGTCAAAAATCATCAAGCACTGGCTCCATCAAGAAAGAGGTCGCAGACCGGAACACGAAAGCTTCTACCAAGCGCCCTGTGATAGCCCAGTCTATTGCGAAGGAGAATGCCAAACAACCTAAAGACGACATCTTTGACGAAGGCGAATACAGAATTTATGCAACGGAGGCACGACAGACGCTCGAGAAAGCCACGAAGCAGGGTTGTTTGAACAAAGGCATTCAATTATTGAAGGCATTCATGGAAACATGGGATACACTTCAGAAGCTCGGCAGGCGGAAGAGCAATGTATCTGCTAGAAAAGAGCTAGAAAATAAGCTCCGAGACTTGCGCCAGCAGATCGAGAAAGTCGGCCCGTTGAGATCTCTGCTCACACTACCTTCGAAGGCAAAGCCCGCCACACAGCCATCTAACAAAATCGAGCATCCTCGTTCGGCATCAGCCGGAACTCAAAGCGCGACAAAGCTCAAGGGCGTATCAATTCAACGACCAGCGCAAGGAGGTTCAGCTCAGCGGGTGCAGCAGTCCTTGTCATCGACTCCAAGCCGTAGTTCACAGGCAAAAGAGAGCTCATCCACTACCAAGCTCGACCTCACTGCATCCAGTTCAGAATCCGAGTCGGAGTCAGATGCAAGCTCAAACTCAAGCTCAGACTCAGAGTCTGAAGATGAAGAAGACGACAGCCCCCCACCTTCGTCGCAAAACGTCAAGCATATGCCCAATCCGTCGTCGCCTTTCAAGTCCAAGTCCCCCATGCTGCCCCAACCCCCAGCTACGACTGTCACATGGTCCCACGCCCGTGGGGTGCCTCAAGCAACCCATTGCACACTGAAAGAACTAGCCGCGAGACGTAAGAAGGAACTAGAAGAGGAGAAGAAGTCTAGAGAGAGAGAGGCTACCAAGAATCTTCAATCGAAGACCCCAGCCATACCCGGAGCCGATGACGATAGTGAGAGCGAAGACGACAGTGAAAGTGAAAGTGAAAGTGAGAGCGAGAGCGAGAGTGAAAGTGAGAGTGGCAGTAATTGAACTAGGGGTATCTAATGTCATGTATGATAACGTCAATCTCGACAATGCATGGTTCATGTTCTTAATGTGAAGGGAGTAAATAGCCAAGATGCTAGGAACAAACCAATGAATGACTTTTAATTGCATTTCCTCGTCGCCTGTCCTTGATCCGCATTACTCCTACTGCTTATGGCACATTAACGCCGTTCGACTCCGCCTCCTCGGGAGCAGCCGCAATCTCAAACAGCTCCTGCGGCGGCCTCTCGACGGTCAAGTTCCAGCCAAACGTGTCCTCGACCTTCCCGTTCTGGATCCCCTTCAACGTCTGCAGGAGCTTGACGCAGACTTCACCACCGTTGTTCGCGTCGCCGCCGCTCTGGAACGTAAATTTGTCGTTCTTCGACCGCATCGTGATACTGCGGATGGGCACGAGGGCGGCCGCCGTGCCGCAGGCGATGACCTCATCGAACTCCTGGATCTCCTCGTACGGCACGCGGCGCCTCTCGGACTTGTACCCGAGCAAGCGCTGGCCGATCTCCAGCACGGAGGCGGCGGTCACGGAGTCGATGGCGTTGTTGCTGTCCGGCTGCACGAGGGTGACGGTGCCATTTGCCTTATTCTTCTTGACTCCGATGAACGCGGAGGTGGAGAACTCATCGACCTCGGAGCGCGTCCGACTATCGAGGTGCAGGGTGATGCCGAACCCTTCGCGGTAGGCCTTGGCGCTGTGCCGCAGCACCGGCGCATAGTTGCCGCCCACCTTGGCGGAGCCGGTACCCTCGGGGGCGCTGCGGTCGAAGTCCTCGAGGATGAGCGCATCGACCGCGCTGACCCCGTGGTAGACGCCCGTGGGCATGACGAACACGACGAACGTGTACTCCTCGGGCGCGGTCAGGGCCAGCTGCGCCGACGACCCGAAGATCAGTGGCCGGATGTACATGGCGGCGCCCGTCTCGTGCGGCGGGACGAACTCCGCGTTGGCCGCCACGGCCAGCTGCACCGCTTCCACGAACAGGGCCTCTGGCACCGGCGGGATCGAGATGAACTCCGCCGAGTGGCGCATCCGCACCGCGTTGCGGTCTGGCCGAAAGATCGTGATCTTGTTGGTGTCTGTCGGGTGCCGGAAGGCCTTCAGGCCCTCGTACGCTTGCTGCCCGTAGTTCAGGCCCGGCGCCATGCCGTGGATGCTGAGGTGCGGGGTCGGGATGAACTTCGGCGCCGACCAGCTCGATGTGCTGGTGTTGTAGTGGCATTCGATGTGGCCGTTTACTGCGCAGAGAGGGCGAGGTTTTAGTTTGATGTGTTTTGGTGTTTCGATTGCAATCGAGGGCTTGCGCGGGGGATTGACTGATCATGACGCTGGTGGGGGATAAACGTACCATCGCGGACTTTGAAGCCGACATTGTTCCAGTCAATGGAACTGACGGGGGGAGGGGGGAAGGAGGATGTCATGATTTTGGTTAGAAGGTATAGAGATTGATTGAGTAGACTGGAAATGAAATTGAGAATCTAAGGTAGGAGGGTGGTTGAATGATCGAGCGTATGTCTGAGGGAAAGAGCTGTTGCAGTTGAGACTGAGTCATGGATGAAGCCCGCGGAGGGGCGGCGGGTCTTATAATGTCGTGTTGTGCTGACCCCAAGGTTCCATCTTGGTTGGTGGGTTTGCTGTTTGGCAGTGTTTGAGCCTTCAGGGGGGATTTTACCAGTAAGCGTACGCCCTGTCAGTGATCAATTCGTATTCGATATTGATGACGACGGAGGATCTATACTTCAATTGACTGAATCTACATACGTAGTGCAATCGCCAGGCTCCACCAGAGACGGACTAAGGCATCCTTCCGGGGCAATTGATCTGACATTTGGCATACACCCAGTCACTGATGCTGCGGAGCCCTAACAAGGGCCGCTCACTGCACGTGATAGAGATAAGAGCCCTTGCCGCATCCGGTCTGGTGCCCCTCTCGTCGGGCCGATATCGCTCCCGTGGGCCCCGGCACTAGGGCGATGAATCAGACTTGCCTAATTCAGCCGAAGGAGTCATACCTACCGTTCCCCACCCTCCCCCCGGCTGGCGTCCTTTATTAGTATCTGCTGTCCTCAGCTCGCTACTCAACTTCTCTCTTCCCAACACATCAATCACATCTTCACACACATTTGCCATCATGAGCGCTCCTAAAGTTGCTGAGAATATGCTCTGGGGTGGTCGATTCACTCGTTCGTCTCCCTTTCCATCCTCAATGGCTTCAATTGCACCGACTAACGCGTTCCGCTTCACTTCTTCACAGAGGGCCTCGACCCCCTAATGGTACAGTACAATGAGTCCTTGCCATACGATCGCATCTTCTGGAAGCAGGACATCGCCGGCTCCATTGCCTTTGCCCGTGCCAACACCAAGACCGGTATCCTGTCTCAACAGGAATTCGCCGAGATCGAACGGGGTTTCAAGCAGATCGCTGAGGAATGGAGCACGAATACCTTTGTCGTGAAGGAGAATGATGAGGATATTCACACTGCCAACGAACGTCGCTTGTCGGAAATCATCGGCAAGGAGATTGGAGGCAAATTGCACACTGGTCGGTCTCGTAATGAGCAGGTTGCCACGGACATGCGGCTTTGGCTCCGCGATGAACTCCGCAAGCTTGACCAGTTCCTGTGCGATCTCATCAAGGTCTCCATTGCCCGTGCCGAGTCCGAGATCGAGTACCTCATGCCCGGCTACACCCACTTGCAGAAGGCCCAGCCTGTCCGCTGGAGTCACTGGATCTTGTCGCATGCCACCGCTTTCGCCAGCGAGCTTCAGCGCCTCCGGGAAGTCATTAAGCGGGTCAACCGCAGCCCTCTCGGTACCGGTGCTCTGGCTGGAAACCCCTTCCACATCGACCGTGAGGCTATGGCCAAGGAGCTGGGCTTCGATGGCCTCTTGTACAACTCGATGAACGCCGTGGCCGACCGCGACTTCGCCATGGAAACCATGCAGTGGGGTAGCTCGTTCATGTTGAAGATCTCTCGCTGGGCCGAAGATCTCATCATCTACAGCAGCTTGGAATTTGGATTTGTCCGCCTGTCGGACGCCTACTCGACTGGATCGTCGTTGATGCCTCAGAAGAAGAACGCAGGTATGTCAGCTCTTTTCTATGTATTGGTAATTTATAAGTTCAGACGATGCTAACCCATTGATGTTTAGACAGCCTGGAGCTTCTGCGCGGAAAGTCTGGCCGTGCTTTTGGTCAGATGGCCGGCTTGATGTGCACTATCAAGGGCCTCCCCACCACCTACAACAAGGATCTGCAGGAGAGTGTTGAGCCTCTCCTTGATCACATCAAGACCGTCGGAGACAGTATTCAGATTGCCACCGGCGTTCTCTCTACCCTCACCGTCATTCCGGAGAAGATGATTGCCGCTCTTGCCCCTGAGATGCTGGCAACCGAGATTGCAGACTACCTTGTCCGCAAGGGTGTGCCGTTCCGTGAGGGCCACCACATCTCTGGCCGGGTTGTTGCCCTGGCTGAGAAGCACCAAGTCCCCATGGATACCTTATCCTTGGAGCAGCTCAAGACCGTTGATGCTCGCTTCGACGACGACGTACAAGCTTGCTTGGACTACGAGCGTGCTGTCGAGTTGAAGGATGCAGTTGGCGGCACTAGTCGTCGGGCTGTGCTGGAGCAGACCGGCGTTCTACGGTCGTTGTTGTAAGATATAGATTTTTTTGGGTCGTTGCGGTTCTGGGGTTTTGGGATCATTTTCGGGGCGAACAAAAGCATGAGGTCTCTTTATAACAATTAATGCATAGAGTGCATTCTCTGGGATGGGAATGTGACTTCTCATTCAATATGACGACGAACTTTTTTCACAGACAATAGTATGTATCGCCAATGCTTTGGCGATATGACGTACAGTGTACTCTTGTAGCTGCTCAAGGTCAATTAAAAAGTCAATAGTCCAATGGGTCTAAACAATCAAATGTGGATGTGCAATGGACACTATACATAATGCTACGTAGTGGTAGCAAATGCAGTAGTAGGTGGCCAACTTCAATGGCTAGCGACGGCGATCGTTGCCCTCGAGGATGCCGATAACATACCCAGTGCAGAATGGATCAGCGATTATCTGGACAAATTATGGCATAGATATTGGGGGGGAGTATAGATAGGGACGTGCTCGCTTATGCCCGGTCATTGGCCCACAATTGGGGTTTGAGTTACGTAAGGCCCCAGAGCTCCGACTCCGGGATGAGTCAATGACTCTTAGTCACCAGCTCTTCCCTCCCCGACCGTCAGTCAGTCATTGAACTAGCATCCTATATTAATCGGCTTCACATTCCGCTGTTTCTCTTCATCTCTCTCCGAATCCAATCTACATCTCATCTTCCACCCTCATCCCTCTCACATATCCACACAAAATGGCCTCTGAAAAGCCCCGTGTCTGTCTGGCCTACTCCGGTACGTCTACCTCCCCGTCTTTTCAACCCCGCAATTTGCGTCGATTGGTCCCAAGATAAGAGCCATATTCGCTAACAAATGTCTCTCTTTAGGTGGTCTTGACACCAGCTGTATTCTCCGCTGGCTGATTGGTATAACTCACTTGCATTCGCTTCGCTTGGTCACCGACTAACACATACTTCAGAGGAGGGTTACGACGTCGTCTGCTTCCTCGCCAATGTCGGTCAGGAGGAGGACTGGGCTGCCGTTGAGGCCAAGGCCCTGAAGATTGGTGCCAAGAAGATGATCATCGAGGATCTCCAGCGCGAGTTCATTACTGAGCTGTGCTTCCCCGCCATTCGTACGATCCCTAGCTTCTGTGTGTGGGGGAAGCATGCTAACCCACAGTAGAGTGCAATGCTATCTACGAGGGCCGCTACCTTCTCGGTACCAGCTTGGCTCGCCCCGTGATTGCCCGTGCTCAGATGCGCGCTGCCCAGCGCGAGGGCTGCCAGTACGTTAGCCACGGTGCTACCGGCAAGGGTAACGACCAGGTCCGCTTCGAGTTGGCCTTCTACGCCATCCAGCCCTCCATCAAGATCA